AAAAGACCAGCTCAGTGAAGCACTATCTGTATATTTTCACCCAATCTCGTGGCCACATTATTTCCCCCCTAGTTGTATTCAGTAACTTTGTAACAGAAAGATCTGAGTTATAAAAGAATACTCATATAATATTGGCATGTCTATTTGAATGGCCTATAGAAACTCAGAGAGCAAGGTTAGAGTTTATGGGCTCAAGAATACTCTAAATAATCAAGAATTGAGAAGTTGAGTTTACAACATTTAAAATTATTCAACAGTTCTTGATCACTCATGTTCCACCTTGGTTTCTGACGCTACAAATCCAAAAGTAAAAAGAACTTATCCCTTCTCTCAAGAAAGTTATAGGCAAGGAAACTCAAACAGACATTTAATAAGAGTGTGATAAATTTTGATATGGATAAGCACAATATTCTTTGTAGAGACAATGTACACAAGGAAGAGAACATTTCAAAATATCTGACACTTTTTTCAAACACTCTGATGTTTCCGCCACTTGAAAAAAATCAAAAATAGTCAAAGAAAAAACAGTGTTTGGCCTCTTAAGGGAATATGTAAGTAAGTTATATATGTGTCTTGTTGAGAGTGTATGTGAACGTGTTTGATTTGTTCTTCTTTTCTGTGTCAGTTAACATATAGAAACAAACAATAATTTGGCTAAATATTTTAAAAAGCTTCTAAGAAATAGCACATTTGCAATATAATATGAAATAAGAATAACAATGTATACCAAATTTTCTTTCTATAGTGTAAATCTTATTCTTTTTTCAAAGAAAGTGTATGATAGATTTAAAATATAAATTGGAAAATAAGTTTTTAAAAAAATATATTGAAAAGAAGTGTCTAAGTATAAAGAACACATAGTATTAATGAAAGTAATTTAATAATATTAATGAAAGTAATTTAATAATAATAGTAATTTAAGATATTAAATTATGTAGTTTGCTAAAATTTCAAATCGCTTAATTATTAGCGCTAGAATATATTTATAGTTGGTGGTGAAGTTTTTACTTTTTTAACATAACTACTGTAAGATTATTATTTGATTAAAATATAGATCATAAATCTAAGCAATGATGAGTCTAATATATAAATAGAAGGGTGGACATTTAAGAATTATAATAATTGAAGATAATATCCAGGTTTGGCTTTTATGCCAGAGACACCTGTGGTTCTATGAGCTCAGTTTACTTTTCCAGAGTTCTCCCTGAATATATTCTTTTTTCGGTTTTCCACTATAATAGGGAAAGGCTTTCTATAGACAACTCTTGGAGATTGCTATCATGACTTTATGTAATATTAAATACTTTAGCAGGTTGGTATAACATGTGTACCTTACTCATAAGAAGACATCACTCAAATGCTAAGTTGAAGAACATTTAGAATTTAATAGTGCTTCTTTTTTCTGTATCTCAACCAAGGCTGGGGGCTTTACTAATCAATTCTACTAAATGTCAAATATGAGTTTTTATTTTTAAGATTTACTACCCCATTGATTTGTTTGGTAAATGATAGATATTAGTTCCTATTTGTAAAATGAAAACTTTTTAAGATATAAGAATTGGCTAAAGTATTTTAAGTCTACCTTCAAATTTATCAATAAAGAGTAAGTCTGAAAAACTCTAGCCTATCCTCCCCTCAAACTCAATAAAAGCAGAACCCCAGGCTCCTGTACCTGTGTGCTCTTCTTCTCTACCTGTGGCCTTGCTGCATGCTTCTTGGTATACCTTGTATGCTCCAAGACTTGTAGGTAATAAACTCTTTCTTAATTCAGAGTTTCCTAATGGTTGTTACTGAGGGCATCTTGCAATGGTAAAAAAGCCCAAAGGTCAATCCCATGGTAATACTGGTTTTAAAAGGGGCTAAGTACTGTGAGAAGCTCAGTGCACCCAGGTAAGTGCCCCCTGAGGCATTTCTAGCCCATAGCATTATTGATAATAGACTGAGAAGGCACAAAACAGTAATACTTTGCACTATGACAACAGCTGATAGGAATTTTTCAGCTCCACTATAATCTTATGTCTTATATGTGGTCCGTGGTTGACTAAAATGTCATTACGTAGTACATTAATATTAGTAGTGTTAAAAATTCTCAAGATACAAAGAATATAGTCTATTTGAGAGGTTATCTTAGAAATCATATCTGAGAGTTCATTCTTTTCACCTAGTTTTTCTAAAAACTTATAAATGGTAGCAGAAAAAATACTTTATTAATATTAGTTGCTAATATTATAAGGAAATAGTTCAGTCCTAAGTTATTGAAGACACCATACTTCCTAATTTTCCAGAAACATATTGAAGCCTTTACCAAGAGGACATTTTATTTTATTCTCACTAGTGCAATTTATTTATTTATAACATTAAAATTAGTACAGCGTATGGTAACTACATAGTCAAACAGGAGTGAATAGCTTTAAATAGATATCTTTCATCTCACCTACACTAACTTCCAGACTCATTCTCCTGCAATATTTACAGTTTGCTATTTCCATTTTTAATTCTTCTGATTACCAACATAATTCTAAACTTCACCCTTTTTTTTTTATATCTTCAGTTCTCACCATATGATATATGAAAGATGATAAAGTTAATTAGCACTTCTTCCCTCTTGGTTTTGTTTGCTGTGTTATTTTTAGTTTTTATTGTTTATATAATTTTAAATAATGTGATTAAGTCTCCATTGTTCATTCTAATAACTTTAGACAGTATAGGAAGAGGATTTTAAACTACCTGGCTAATTACCAAAACTAATACCACTTAAGCGTTTGTTACTTAGCAGTGCCACAAACATAAGCAGGGTGAAGGTGCTTGGAAGGGATACACTAAGTATGATGTACTTAGCACTCTAATGGAAGAGCTTATTAAAAAAAAAAAAAATGTAGGTAACTATTTCAAAAAGCTAGAGTCTGTTTAGGAACCCTTGGTGTATTTCTCTGACCATGGGAACAGGATGGGATGACAGAAAATCCTGAGATTTGTAATGCCCCCTCAATGTCTGAGTAGAGCCACACTTTCAGAAAAATTACCACAGACTTAATTCCAGGACTAATGTAGCTGAGTTGTAAGCTGACTTTGGCTGATGGAATCAGATTCTTTTGAGAAATGACTAGGACGAGATGATCAATCCTTAACTCGTACATTCAAACATATATACTTTGAAGAGCCTCAGATTTTTTTCAATTTGAAGAGAAATAAATGTATTACATAGAAAGCCAAGTGACTATTGGGAAGGTATGTGTGTGGTGGTGCGGAGAATAGGGAGAAAGGGAGGTGGGATAGAAGAGAGAATGAAATGAAGAGAAAGAGGGACAGAAGCAGGTAGTAGGGGGAAGAGTTTACAAAGAGTGTTGTATTGTGTGAGAACAGTAGTTAACCTGGATTTTATGGAGTAATTTCGATACTGATTTGACATTTTCATGGTTCCAAATCCAAATTTAAAGAAGTGAGTAGAATATTAGTAAGTTATCCCTGCCTAGAGCTCTTTATTTTTAGGAAGATATTGATAGCATTTAGACCACTGAGAACCCATTAGAGATTATGAACTCAACAGAGCCACTAAGATGTATGTGAGCCCCAAGTTATTAGCCAATGAATATCTTAATTACTACAATTTCAGTAACTCAATATAACTTAGTCACACACTTATACTTTATATACGTATAACTTAATAATAATATAACTTAATAACATAAAGTAAAATTATAAATGATGGTTTAATATCATCACTCTTTTTTTAGCATGCCAACATTATAAATTTTTTGCTGAGATTAGAAACTACTGATTTTATATAAATGTACATGGTATGTTTCAAGGTTCTATTATTTGAGAGGAGTAATATAAAAGAACATTGCAGTAATTCCTTAGAACATGAAATTGTCAGATATTGAGATAGACTTTATTTCCCTTTAGAATTACCGCTTCTATATTTGTACTAAGGGTTGCAAAGATTTAAAGCAGTATTTCCCAAACTGTATTCTAAGGGTATTAATTCAGGGAGATGTCAATGTGTGGTTCTAGAAAATATGCTAAAAATACTCTCTTCTTAGACAAGCATTATGCAAAATTAGCACACTTAAGTCTCTGAAAAGACCTGCAGTACAGTAGATTAGCTTTTTAAAATATTATTTTAAACCATGTTTCCCAAGGTTACCTGTGCAGAGTTCACATTTGTTTTTTTAGCATATTCATTATAATCTAGAACCAGGGTTAACAACCTATATCCTTGTAAATAAAGTTTTTGTAAATAAAGTTTTATCGCAACATAGTCATGCCCACTTGTTGCTTTTCTATTACAATGGCAGAGTTGAGTAGCTGCAACAGAAACTGCATGCCTGACAAAGCCTAAACTTGTTTATTCTCCAGTCCTTTGTAGAAAAATGTTTGCCAGTCTTGATAGCAGAACAGAATACTACTTACTGGACATCAAATTAGAAAACACTGCCTTACAGAACTGTATTAAAACTTTAAACAGAAACTTCTTGCAGATAATTATGTGTACATACCTGCATGATGTATAATTAATTTTAACTGTGTGAAATATGCAATGATGGGAATTAAAACATCCATTTTTAAAGCTTTTATTTTAATATAGTTAATGTATTTGAAACTTTAAAACACAATTTAGGAAGAAAAGAATATAAATATTCTTACAAATGTTGTTTAAAGCCAAAGATAAAAATCATACTGATAGCCTTACATTTCTTTTGATAAAATTATCTAGAGAAAATTCAAAATTTATTGATGTCTTTCTTCCTTGCTTTCCTTTTAGGAAAAATTCCTGATATACAGTTGTGTGCATGTAATTACTATGTCTTTTTATTTTGACTTGGAGGACACCTTGCTCCCTCTTCATATTTAAAATAAGTAGCCTAAGGTATTACATAAACCTAAATTTAACTATTGGCTTGCTTGTTATCTAGCTATCCAAACTGTAATATCTGGATGCCAGTTCTCCATGAGGTATTAGTAATGAAGCTGAACTAAATGCTCTGATTTTTTTCCAGGAAGAACTGAACCCCATCATTGTTACCCCACCAATTCAAGCCATTGATCAGGACCGGAATATTCAGCCACCATCAGATAGACCGGGCATCCTCTATTCCATCCTTGTTGGTTTGTACCTGCTAACATTTTACACTCAGTTGTCACTCCAGAATCATATAAAATAAAAATTGTCTCAAATCAGAGTAAACACCTTTAATAACAAAGATTTTCTTTTTGGAAATTACTGTTATTTTTAAGTATAAATGAATCTAAAAGTAACAGTTCTTTCTCAGAATTAGTTTCAGTGGAATGTGTAAAACAATAAGTAGAAAAAAAAACTTTTATTGAAGAAGCAAAACAACTTTTTAAAAAAGGGAGGTTGATTTACATATTGGTAGTTTTCTCTATATCACCTCATAAAAAATTCCCTAAGAAAAAAATTGAAAAATCAATTGAAAAACTTACACAGTTTGCTCTACAGTATTTTATCATTGGTGGATCAATTAAATAATTCTGAAAATACATGACTGAATTAAATAAGGGCATTTGGAGCCATATGGGAGAAAGAAAAAGATCATAATTAGCCCAAGGGCACATAATGTATTATACCCTTGGCTAATTTTTCCTTGAAAAATTTCACAGGAGTTGTCTTAATCCATCCTTGTGCATGTACTGCTAATTGTACCAAAAGCAAAAATGATGAGAATTTGATTATGCTACTCAAATTGCTTCCCCCCACCCTTCAAATTGCTTTTGGTAAAATATGGATGTAGTTGCTTTGCAAGGTTTTAGTCTCTAGAGGGACAGATGTGTGTGAGACAGACCATACATCTCTTAATGAAGGAGTTGTTTTTGAACTGTGCTTGAAAATAACTATTCAATGAAATTCAACATTACTCTTAAACCTTTCCTATTCTCATGCCTCCAGCCTGTATATGTGCATACATATATAACAACACAGAAACCTGCAGACATTAGACAGATTCAAAATATAAGGCTATAGCCTACTTAGAAATGCTGTCCTTAAAGAAAATTCAAGTAATTCTGTTTAAAGCCTTTAGTCTCTAGAACTACACACATATCATAAACCCTTTGCTGAGATTAGACTATTAAAATTTTTAAAAATTTTCTTATGAACCTAAGCATAAGCCTCTTTTAAGTCTAGAGAGGCCTGGCATATATAAAAGGAAATAGACACTTTTAAAATTTTTATTAACTGAAGGCTTGACAGTATGTCAATCACTGTGCTGGATGTTATAGATACAAATATGAGAGATAAATGTTCTAGGTTAGGGAGGGGTAGAGTTTATGCTAGAACACATCAAAAGATGAATTAAAACACATAATTGTAAACACTATAAATAAAGTATGAGCCACACATCATGTGGGCTCATGGGAAGAGAGTGCTAGAATTTCTGAGAGTTGCTTAGGAAATGTTATTTTAGCAGAAAGGCTAGAATTTCCAGGCAGAAAATAGGAGAGGAATGATCTAGACAGATGATGCTGCATACACAAAGTCCAGTAGATGAAATTTAAAGATAGTCTTGGGGAGGCATGCTACTCAGAGTGGTCTGGTATTCATTGGCATTCATAAGTTTCTTTCACTTTTAAAAATTATACTTATTTTAAAATTACACTTTTTCAATAAATGAGCACCTACTCTATGGAGCAAGATAGATTCCTCAATTTGTACAGATGGTTTTCTGGCAGCAGAGACAGGTAATAAACAATATAATAAACAAATAAATGTATATACTACAAAAGATTGATACTAGTGAGTGCTATAGAAAAAATAGAGCTGGATGAGTGGAATTGGAAATGCAGAAAGAGGTGTTACAACATAAGCTGCAGTATTAAATAAGATGATCAGGAAATGCCTCACTGAAAAGGTGAGGTTGAGCAAAGTCTTACAGAAGTTAAAGGAGTTAGCCATGTTGATATCTTGGGGAAGAGTTTCTAGGCTGAGATAGAAGCTGGAGCTTGCCTTGTGGGTTTGAGCCTAGTAGCATCGGAAAAGCATGAGTGAGAGGCAAGTGGAAAGAAGGTGTGAGAAATAACAGAGTGCCAGGAAATAGAGGTTTGTATACTATTGATCTACTCTGTCTTTCACTCTGAATGAAATGAAGAACCAATGAAAGGATTCAAGCAGAAAAATGAAATAATGATGTTACATTCCATCAACCTCTAACTTTAGGATGGTGGATAGTCCTCAAGAATAGATATAACCTCTAACACTAACTTTGCTTTCACAGCTATATTAAATAAAATTGTATGCTTAGATAGTATTTACATTTCTAGAAGGCAAGGCATTGCAGAAATTGTAAACATAGCTTCTGGATTTGTGCTATCAATGTTCAAATCCCGAGTTTAACACTTCCCAATCATATAATGCTAGGCAAGTTACTAACTTCTCTGTCTCAGATTGCTCCTATTTAAAATGGGATTCATCAACATCAAGCTTTCTATAAAAGAGTTTTGAGGAGTGATCTAATAGATGTAAATATGTAATAGTGTCTGAAAGAAAATTACTGGTCAAATAGTGTTAGTTGATGTCATTAATTACCATTAGAAGGAAAAATAAAGCATGTTTTTCTAAGTCATACAAGTCTGGTAAGAATAGAAGTGTGTGCTTACACACACACACAGACACACACACACACACACACACAGCTTATAACTGTGCCCTTTTTCGCGTTCTGATCTTTCACACATTAAGTAACCTTGCACGGAGTCTATTAGCTTTTCCTCATGCCTTTCTATTCTCTAGAATTCTGATTCCAATTTTAAACTCCGCCAAATTAGAAATTATTTTCTTTTTTTTCCTTTTTGGATTTTTGGGGTTATTTTTCTCTTTATCAGAAACTTATTACTAGGTAATAAAGTAAAGTATTGTGGATTTTTATTATTATTATTATTACCATTATCCTTTAGGCATGAGAGAAGTTAGATTTTGTGGCATACATTATTGGAAGATGTTTCTTCCATTTTGCAGGTCATATTTACTGAGTGTCAATATTGTTCATGTTTTTATGGCTTCCCCTGAAAATCATTCCAGAAAACTATTCATTTCTGAACACATTAAACTCCTTGTCCTTTTCCTCATATGGATCACATAGTGTGAAATAATAAGCCACAAAAACCGGAACTCACAAAAATAGATTTCCCTAAAAATGGGAATGTACACTGAACTCAAAGATGAATATGTTATCTATTGTAATGAAATTAGTAGAGTATATATTAGTAAAATTACAAACTGAAATGTTTTTACAAAGAGCCTCCAAAACATTACAGTGACTTAAATCAAACACAGTAGAAGTTAATTTCTTTCTCAAGTAACAGCTCAAAAGTTTATGAGCCTGGGGTTTGTGAGAAAGATTATCCCTACCCTACCCTTGCCTTGCTCTGTTGCTTCAGTCATTAACATGTCACAGCCAGTGGGAAAAACAGTAAAGTCCAGGGCAAGTGACTCTGTGGAAATAAACCAAAATTTTCCAAAACATGAGAACAGTGTAAGTTGTAGAAACATAAAGGAAACTGTAAAGACAGTGAGTAGTGTTTTAGTGCTCTACTGCTGTACAATAAACTATTCAAAACATTAGTGACATAAAATAGCACCAATTTATTACTTCTCATGTTTCTGTGGGTTGATTGGGATCAACTGAGCAGTTCTGCTTTATTTACATGGTGTAGCTGATGTTATTCAAATGTTTGCACTCAGCTGGGTACAAGCCAGGAATTGATATCCAACATGATCACTTGCCCCTTCTCTCTGGCCTAGCCTCATTTGGTAGTCTTCTCGACAGCATTGTTTTTGGCTTCTAAAAGGGTAAAAGTAAAAGCTGCCAGTCTTCTTAAGGCTGGTCCTGGAACTAGAACAGCATCATTTACACTACTATCTATTGGTCAAAACAAGCACACGTCTACCCCAGACTGAAGGAGAGAGAAAATAGACTGTTTCTCAATGGGAAACAAAAAATCTGTAACCATTTTTGATGTACTTCAAATAACTTGTGTATATGTTAGCTCAAGATAGTTATATTTTAGATTGAAGATATAACTGTTCTTGATTCCTCATCCCATGAGTTAAAAATAAGTTTGAGTAAACTCTCTAATATTTAAAAATTATACATGCTTTATTATTATTAGCTAAGTTTTTAATACTCAATAATTGCATAGAGTACTGAATACTATTTATTAATTGGCTATAAAACCACATTTCAAATAACTTTATTAATTGTTTAAAAATTGTCACTGTGACTTATTTCCGGTCTTCATGATTTGACCTAGAAATATGACTGATTGAGTCCTTGTAGTAAGAGCGTGGGAAGTTAGTGTCCTGCCCCATTTTTGGTGTTCACTTTTGCGTGCATCGTTAGTGTTATCTTTAATCTCAGGTCCATTTGAAGAAATAGTTCCCAACTATTTATCATTTACATGAGTATTTGTTTAGGGACAAATGAATACTTCAAAACACAGCTCACTTTAACTGGCCAATTATAAACCAAAATCCAGTACAATATGCTGAAGCAGACAGACAGGGGAGTGTGCTCATCAACCTTTCCACACTGTGTAATTGCACACCTCCCTTAAGACTCTTCACCTGTGTCCCTACAAACATACCAAGAGCAGCAAGTGTCAACTGAATATTAATTTTTATTAAGCTTATTTTTGTATTATTTTTGGATGAAATAAATACAAAATTTGTTTTAATAGGGGTGATAGTTACATGGGTATATTGCTCAAAAGCATTGAAGCTTATCTGTACATTTTATTGTATATAAATTGCACCATTAAATAAAAAAAAACAGAAATTGATGTTTTTTTTCTTAATCCCACTTTGGGAATGACTACAGTAAACAATAGGTAAAATTTTATCTACATAATTGAGAGAATAAAGTGGAATTTTAGAAATTTACTTCAGTGATGATAAATAAATGGAATGTCAGAAGATTTAGGAGGCTATCACAGTGGTCCAAGAAGGAAAGAAGAAGGCTCTGAATAAGGAGAAAGTAGAATTATACAAAAGAAACATGTAGGAGTGAATGACAATGATATAGGAAAGAAAGAATCACTTGGTCAATGTGTGGAAAATTGAACCTGCTTAGTCAGAAAAATGGTGGTACTATTAG